TGCCACTACTCCGACTGTCAAACATATTTCATTATATTCTTCAATAAGGTCATCTGTTTTCGTGGCTATTGTATTTTAGTGTAAAGTTATAGGATATTTTCTTTATTTCTTCTTCTTGATTTACAGCTTGATTCCACACTGTATTTTCGGTACAAGTATGGAATTTTCAGCATGGATATCGGTAGCCCAAATTTTGCAGGCCGACCATAGATATCAGGTGTGCGTCGGTGCGGGCTTGAACCCCGGACCATGTGCATGGTCGGCGAGAGTCCTAACCACTGTGCCACCGACGCACAGTTACGACTTATAGTAGAGTTGTATAGCTAGCTTTATAAAGTAGTATGTGCCTGCTTTCAGTACTGACTTCTTACTTACTTTCTTGCAGTAAAGGCGGTTAATCTATTTCACGAATTTAAGTCATCAAAGTTGAATTGATTCGAATCGACATAGTTATCAAATTTAATTTTAATTTTTGGATTTCATCACACAAACCAACATCGATTAGAGAGATCATTAAAAGCCAGAGAACACTAGACAGCTGTTCTTTCCCATTCTGGGACTCTTCATCTGTGAGCATTGACCACTACTCCATCAAGGGGCGTAAACCCGTGACTTTCAGGTTACGAGACCGAGCTTGTGACCAATGACTAGTGGAGTCTACCATGTCAAGATGAATTGGATTCTCATCAAAGGTATTGGTGAGTGTAGCGCTGTACCACAAGCTGACGAAGTTAGATTTTATGAGTCACTGAATTCCTGCCCACGTGGCTGAATGGTCAACAAGCTTGGTCACGTAACGTGAAGCTCCCGGATTCAATACCTGATGGGATTGTGGCTTCATGTCGATGAGCAGCCACAAAGGTAGGACGAAACAGCTATCCAGTGTTCTGTGGTTTTCAGTGATCTTTGTGACTGATGTAGGTTCATGACGAAAATCTAACAACTGGAATTAAATTTATCCAAATACTCACAAATCCCATCATATGAATGTTTACTAAGTGGTTGTTTACTGTTTTTAAAAGATCTAAGGCACTCACTGCCCGGATACCAGGCTGTTGTTTTGATGAATCTTTCCCAAGACTTGGACTTAATGTTCACTCTAGAAGACAGTGAAGTGATGTAAGGCATTGCATTCCCATGATTGTCATTCACTAATGCAAGTATGTACGTTGACGTTTCTTTTCTAATCTGTGTGCTTACCACATGCATCATTTATGTGGAGTGATGATTGTTCAATTTCTCAAGCTTTGTATTTACACTTTACGGCTTTTTTAGGAACTTCACTGTATAAATATGCAGGACATGGGGAGGAGTTGTTTTGGTTGAAGCTTTAAACATGTAGTTATATGAGATTGTTTGGACAGACCGTTAGTTTCATCTTATTTTAGAGATATGTACACTTCATATGAATAATTTGACGAAAGTGTTTTTTATCTTCAGTGAGAAAGTACCCTGGTTTTGAAAAAAAGAAGTCTATCTATAAATGACAGTGGATTTTGCTAACATAAATTACTTCAGCCTTGCCTTCATATAAATCTTATGATACATACCTCTTTTCTTCTTTCTCTCTCTCTCCCTCCTTGTAATAGCTTCTTAAGACGGTTAATGTCATTATTTTCATTTCCTTTTTCCCTTTCTCTGCCCATTTGAGTTTCTGGCTTTTTTTGTAGAAGTAAAAGAAGGAAACCTAGTAACTTAGGCTAAGTTAGTATATAAAAGTTTTTTTTGCAAATTTCTCTCCGTCTCTCTCTCTCTCTCAGTGTCTGTTTGATGCGCATTCATTTGGGAGTTGTAATATAAAGTGATTAAATTAGTTTAGATTTTTATATGAAGGAAGGTCTGTAGGTATTAATAAGATATAATAATGGTAATGATAATAATAATAAGGAAATACTCTTTTTGTAATTCCTTCAATTCTGCTGCTATACACTTAGTGAGCTAAAACATAGTAGTGAACGTTTGTGTCTGTCTGTTTTCAACATAGAACTTTGCACTGATGTGCGGAAGTTTAAGTCGCCACACTCCTTCCTAGTAGCACACAAAGCAAGAGAAGAACGTAGAAAAAAATGCATATTAGAGACAGTAAACAGAGGTGTGAGACAAAGGAATAGTAATAACGAAGAACAAAACAGTTTCTTTGGAAACCACAAGTCACAAGGAGTGGATGCATCTTCGCTGTCATTGAGAACGATTTTGAGCCATGTCACCAACTGTTTCCAACTATTGATTTTTACCGTCCCGAGGACCCCAACCAACCAGGAAGTCTACACCTTCGTACGTGGCTGGCTGGCTTAAACTAACTGTTGTAGATTTCATTGACTGATTCCATGTTTTGTTTGACCGCCGCTAGCTGTTTTCCAGCCTGACCCAATGTCAGCTAACACTGTCTGTCAGTCGAGGAAGGTGATGGCTAGGCATGCGTAGCACATGTCCTAACCATCTCAGTTGATGCAATTTCACAGCCTTGTCGATTGATTTTCCCTCCTTACGTGAACGACTCACGTCTGGTTTCAAGATAGGACTTTGTGCAGAAGTCCACCAGTTCGAGTTGATACTCCACGTAGAGTACATAGAAAGACGAAACAGAGAGAGAGAAAAAATTGTTCGAAGAGCTTTAGCAAGCACAAGATGTGCCGGAGGAAGAAGGATAACATGGGAAAACAGTAGGGTGTAATAGATATGGAGAATCATAAAGATTGTATGCATCTGCACCGTTTAGAAACATTTCCACTTATTGGTTCTTACCATCCTGAGAACTCCAGCTAGCTAAGAAATCTACACCTTCCTGCCTGGCTGACTCAAACTAACTGTTAAAGATATCATAGACTGATTTCACGTTTGGTTTGGAATACTAGTAGCCTTCTCTTTTCCAACCGATCCATCCTATGTCAGCTAACATTGCTCGTCAAGGAAGGCGTTGGAAGACGGAGCGGACTGACTTCTGAGCAGTACACACTTTCTTTGATTGATGATAGCCAGTTGGATACCACATCTACGCGAGAGATGACTTAGGTTGGCGAAGGCCACACAAGCCTTTTGTATCCGTGTTGGGATTTCGTCAATGATCAGCTCTTTGAAGCTGATGCAGCTTCTTACATGAGTGAAACGTTCAACACGTTCTACCACTTCACTCTCACTTATCTTTAAGCTAGGAATCACTGTAGTACAGTCCTACATCATCATCATACGTTTGACAAAAAGAACGAATCGTATGTCAAACAGTCGAAGATTGCTGCTCAAGGAGTTCAGAAGACTGCATTTAATCATATATTCAGGACAAGCCTAACGAGAAATGAAAATCAGAATAAATGAACACCACAGAGCATCTGTTCGACAACTGAGAAATCAGATTGAACTAGCAAAAAGCTTGAAAAATTACCAGCCATTTGTGTTCACGCTTCAGAATCAAGACACAAAATTGTTTTTGATAATATTTTAATCATCCTGAAAAATTACAAAAATAGCAAAGAACGTTTCATATAAGATGAAATCCACATAGTCTGAATAGGAATGATGGAGTAAGACAGAGTTTGAGCTGGTTCCGAAACGCCACTCCCGATGGAGCTAGAAAACCAAGCAATTTCATTGTATAATCATATGCTGCTTTTATAGTTTCATACGCTTATCATATTCACTAATCAATACATGCAACAAAGGTACATCCTTCTCTTTTAACGTATGTTGCTTGTTTTCGATTCTAATCGAGAAATTATAGTACCCGATCAACACGTGGTTTTGTTATCTTTATCAATCGGCTAACTTGACAACTTAAAAATTACCTCATGCTGAAGAACGATGGTTAGATTGCTATATATATAAGCTGAGATTTTGTAAATTCTAGTTTAATAATCAGAAATCTGAAAGAAGTAACCTCCTTTACCTACCTATAGACCTGGAAGCATCGTTTCAACTACAGGCGAACGAAACTGTTGAGGACATTATAGCGAGGGTCGGGAAAGCAAGGCAAGCTTTCATTACTCTTAAGTCTTTGGGGAGACTAACAGCACTCAACATGAAAAATAAGATCCAGATTTCCAACTCCAATGTAAAGTCAGCGCCACTATATGGATCTGGGACTTGGCGTGTCACAAAGGGCACTTCAAAGAAGTTGCAAACCTTTATCAACAGCTGTCTTCGCTCTATACTACTCAAGATCAGATGGCCCTCCAGAAACGATCAGAAGCGGCAACCAGCTGTGCGATAAATATGCAGGAAGAGATGGAGGTGGATTGGCTATACTCTGAGAAAACAAACCATCAAGTGATATCACATACCAGACCATTACCCGAATGGGTAGCGGCGAGTTGGTCGTAAAAGGGTGACATGGAGGAGGTCATGACAAAAAAAGATGAAAGCCTGTGGGCAGATGTTGAGCCAGAAGAAAACGTTGATGGAGAACTGAACGCAATGGAGACGTGCGGCTCAAGGCTTTTGTTCCTCTAGGAACTAAAGGAGATAATAATAATAAATACATTGATAAAGCTATAAGCAGCATTAAATAGCGAAACGTCACATCAGTGAAAACAAAATCGTTTTGTTTTTCATTGATTGGGGAATACAAAAACTTTCATAATGTTATAGTAGTGTCATGCCTTTACACTTCCTTCATCACATAAAAAATGTGTACCAAATGATATGCGAATCTTCCATCTTACAAAATCGCATATACAAAGTCACAGTGCAAAGTTATGCTAATTAATACAACTTCGTGTGTGTTATCTTCAAATATGTTGTATGGTATTACCTTAATTTGTCGCTATCAGCCCATCAATTTTTACAATTCTGTAATTACCAAAACGAAGGAAGAAACTAGATAACAACGATAAAAAGCACTTATTTATGGTCTTCTTGTACTTACGTCTATCAATTAGACTCTTTTGTCGGTGGAAATTGAGCTAATAACTTTGCATTATATCAGTGTTAGTTATTGTCATACTCTAATTTAATAAAACTATCAGCTATTTACACTGCTTTATATATATTTATTTTTTATTTTCAAGAATCTTTAGTCATTTGTTCAGAAGTGAATAAAAGTTGGTTGAAATATGCACGACATCCAGAGTTGTATCGTCATTTATGCATGCAACCCCAATGGTCATCACCTATTCAACAGAAATCACAATTATTTAATAAATTAATGTTATCCAGTGGATGTAATTATCGTGTACAAGATGAAAATATAAACAAGTCTGATAGTTTAACCAAACATTCTGTAGATATTAATGTAAGTTTATTGAAGGTTGTCATTATTTTTTCTTTTTCTTTTTTTGGTTTAATTTTTCTAGTGAAGTTAAACTTTAAGCAGCGAAGAGTAGGGCTGGCTGACTGACACACTGGTTTCAACATAGAACTTTGCTCAGATGTGCACCTGTACGAGTCGCCACACTTCACTCAGCACACAAAGCAAGAGAAGAGAGTAAAAAGAAATGGAAAATAGAGACAGTAAACAGAGGTATGAGGCAAAAAGAATAGTAATATCGAAGAACCATCTAGTTTTATTGGGCATTATAAGTCACAAGGAGTGGATGCATCCGCGCCAGCCATTGAGAACGATTTTGAGCCACATCACCAATTGTCTCCAGTCGCCATTGGCTTTTACCACCCCGAGGACCCCAACCGGTCAGTAAGTGTACACCTTCCTACGTGGCTGGCCTAAACTAATTGTTGTGGATTTCATTGACTGTCGAAGTCATGTTTTGGTTTGACCACCACTACCTCTTTTCTAACCCGACTCTATGTCAGCTAACATTACCCGTCGGGGAAGGAGATGACTAGGCATACGTAACACATGTCTTAACCATCTCAGTCGATGTAATTTCACAGCCGCGTCTATTTATTTCCTTTCTCGACGTCTAACCTCACCAATCGCACGATAAAGGCAATTTTTACGATTAAAATGCATATATATTTATGAATATAATGGATAAAACGGCGTGAAACTGTTACCCAGGATAACTCTTACCTCGCGTGTAACAAAAGTGCCTCGCTGTTTTACACTGAAATGTCAACAGAGTAATTAAACCACATTCTATACACGTATTTATCTAAATATTCTAACTCTAACGCGAAATTATCCCTAACCTAACTCGAACCAACCCTAACCTGTCCTTAGCCTAATCCTTCCAAAGCCTTACCTAAAACTTACCCACTATCCCGCTTAGTATCCTAACACTTCAGTTAGCATATTTTTGATTCATGATTGCCTAGTTTCACTAACTTGCTTGTTGACTGAGCGTTCCAATGGTCGTTGGGGCAGTTGTACTCCTTTAGTGCCCAAATTTTAACCTGGCTATTTGTTTACATATCGTTTGGTTTGGTTCTGTAACAGCGTACTAGTGCAAAATTTACATTTGTGTACTAAGAAAGGTAGTTGTTTGAACTGTATTCAGGTATAGTGTGAGTGACTCTTTGACAAGAATCACATACATCAATTATGCATTTCGTTATTTTGAAGATAAGAACTTCCAATTCCGTTAGCACTAAAGGATAATGAATGTGTCATTTGTGTAATAGTTAACTAACTCACTAACTAACTTGGTTGTAAATGAATTATTTTATGCCAACTTTATATGCCTTAATTTGCATATGAACCGATTATAAATCAACCAAGGCAATAGAAAAATGTAACCGATAATTTACTGATTGGTGTACTTGCCGTCGCCTTTTTAGCATTATGTGTGTGTGTTCAGTGGGATCATTGCTTGTAGACTGTCAAGTTAGGAAACGTTGAAACCTGCGCAGAGCAGGTTAGTCAGTCAACAAAACTGCTAAACATCTGTGGTTAAGACATGTACTACTCATGTATGTTTCAGTGATTGGATTTGTGATTTTTGCAAAGTGTTGCAACATGCGAACACAGACCGATATGGAAAGATGATATTCGTAGGACATCCACTACGGCACTGAAGCTGGTGTTTCTAGATAATGACACTCAGTGGATGATGATGTCGGCTGTATCCAAGCACACTCTGCTCATAACTACTTGGAAACAAACAATTCTATGGAGACAACGATGATCGAACATGCAGAGTCTTCCAAAATTCTCAGCTTGGAGAGGCCATATTTCACAGGCTCAGAAGAAGACTGCACATGGAAGCATTGTAAACCCAACCTTTGACAGCCAGGATGACGTCGTGACGGCACCAGATGTGACTCAACTTGGTTCATGCCACCCTAGCTTTCACTATGCACTTCGGGATCTCGTCTGCCGCACCTCCACCAGCAGTCGCACAAATACCTATATATACACAAATTTGTAAATAACTTAAAGTGGTTCATCTACAAGAGTGGGTGCAGGTACAGTCTCCTCCAGCAGTACTTTGCACTTAGGCGGCGCAAAGCTCATACCATATTCACAGACAATTATCGCACTGGTGAACTTTTTAGATATAAATTTCTAGTTTAACGGTTAGTAGTACTACCAAAGAGAGAATTTACTACTATATCAGATAAGGTTATTTTGCTATATTACATAGTCATACAATATATAGATGGGTGACGTTTCGAGTTATACTATGTTCCACCACAATGGTCAAATCCTACTCTTTAGAATAACATTCAGTCTTATTTTGCTTCTTAGCGTGTTCATATTGAAATATATATGGTTTCTTCATGTGACTATTTTTCTGAGCTGCCTGGTGGTCTAATTGCGAAGTTTTCATTGTCCTTCTAAACAAAATCTTCAAAGCAAACTACAATATGATGAAGTGAAGCTATTTGGGCAAGGTTCAGCAATAGCGTCCCAAGGGTTGCGAACGTATGAGTCACTTTCAGCCGATCAGTGATAGAAATAAGTGACTTTTGCACAAGAAATGACGTATATTTACGAGAAAATGTATGAAAACACATTAAACAGGTTATCTTTCTCTGACATGACTTAAAACTACGTCCCAGTTACAATGAGGAGTATCAGTTGCTAAGCTAGACTAGTTTCTGTGCATGTATTCACTGAGGTGACTTAAGATTAGCTGTTTTTGTGAATTGTTTATAATAATAATAATAATAATAATAGCTTTATTCCAAACAGTATTTGTGGTACAGGTATGGAATTTTCAGCGTGCATTACAGTATATTACAGTAATTGCATCTAATTACCTCATAAATTATATAAGATTTTTAAAAATCAAAGATAAATAAATAAAAATAAAATAAATAAGTTATAAATAAATAAAATAAATAAATATTAGAAATTAAGAAAAAAAGCAACGTATAGTATTTCATTTCAAACAATGCAACACAGGATTTGAAATATAAAGTTGATGTGTGGTAGTAAATGAGAACAACAGTGTAGTAGTAACGAGGAAAGGAAAACAAAAACTAATGGGACTATTTGTTAGAGTGCCGCAGTAAGTTTATCGTGTCATACCTAACGGATTTCTCATCACATAACAGCTGTGCCAGATATGGTATTGTGGACTTTTTGTATTTGGTAGTCCTAGCATATAGCCGCCTATAGCTGCTTCTAGTTCTACCAGATGAAATGCAAGGAGATAGATGTGTATAGAGAGGATGCTTGGGGTCCGACAATATTGTATTTGCTAGTTTCTTACATGATATAATATGTCTATCTACAATAGTGTTCACCAGTTGGTTTAACGATATCTCTCTTCTCCTGCTGTGCAGTCTTCCACCAAAAGCCCTCGGTTGATTTACTATGGTTTTCAGTAAGAGGACTGACGACTACTTACCAAGAAAATGTGGATAATAAAACAAATTAAAATAAGTGACATCAACTCTAAATCTATCCCTAAGTATAAAACATCCTTAATCCTGACCCTAACCGTAAACTTAACACTAACCCTAATAACACCTTTATCCTAACCGTAAACCTAACCCTAATGCTAATTATGACTCTAATTCTAACTCTAACCCCAATACTTACCTTAACCCTAATTCTAATCCTAACGAGCTAATAACACATTGTCCAAACAGTAATTTAAACGTGATCTGAAGGAAATCTGCTACTAAGTTGGTGAATCGCGTTGATATTTCAACTATGATAATGATAGATGCCGTTAGCCAACGACTAGTATGCGTCCAAGGTCATTGGAGCGTTCGCACTCGTGGGATGCATATCGAATGGTAAAAATTAGCTCAACAATGCCGATAGGCAGCTCTACAGATCCAGTTCTTTCTTGAGTACAAGATAAGTAATGTACAGTAAAAATTATTTAACCAAATCAACTGTAAGAAGTACCTGAGAATCTGGGAAGAATATTCCCAGTTTAGGAGAGAGAAGGATCATAATTATAAAGTTAGAATGTCTATGTAGGTAAGAACATCGTAAACAGATCGTTCAGGATCGATTTCTCAAACAATCATTCCGTTATAGACAGTATAATTTGCTAATTGGTGGATGATGACTAGCAGTGGAATCCAGGATGCGCATTTCGTCCTATTTGGGACTCATCATCCGGATGTACCTGCATTCCCCAGTGAGTGATGATGTTCCCACCAAGGCTCGAACCCAGTGCCCATAGTTTCCAACGCACTTCGGTCCAGTAAACCGACGGCAAAATCTAAAACTCAATTAAATAAGTACAATTTGTTGCTTCGTTGTTAAAATCGATGATCATACTTTCACTTGAGTGACATACTGTTTCACTTTTTATATCAAACTTAAAAAACTTATTTTGGTGTACATTCAAGTATGTGTGTATGTGCATATTGTTTTACTTTTTTGAAATCTAGTGGTTGAATGTATTCAAGAAACGCGTATGTTTACGACGTAATTTTCGTTTGGGTAAACATCGAATACGCAGGTTCAATGGACACAGTGGAGGTATGCATTAATTCGTAGACTTTTACATTCTTCACTGTATATTGTTTACAATGCTTTTGGTTTTTAATAGTAGATGGGAAGAAATATATTACCTCTTGTAGGCGTCGGTCGTTCGGCGGGCAGAATACTCGCCAGCAATGCATGTGATCTGAGGTCCGACCCTCGGCTGACGAGCACTGCTTAACCTCGCCTGGCTGGTAATAAGCCCGGTAAAGACGGATGTTTGGGTGTGAGGCTAGCAATCCCAACCCGTAAAAGGTAAGCACTACTGCTACTATAAACTTCAGGGCTCAGACATGAAGCCCCTTTCTCCACTGGGAAAGCAAAGTATTAAAACAAGTAGACTTATTGATCAGCCCTCAGTAATATTCATACTTGAAATAATGATTTTGTCCTTTAGACACTTTGTTACCTATACACGGATATAATATATATAATACAACTTTATGGCCTTAATTGTTTGGTAATTATGTCTGACATACATAGACTCAAGTCCTTGAGGATACAATAGTCGACGTATCATAGTAATGAATTCACATTTAGATAGTTATTTCAACACTAGTGGGTAATGTATTACACCCGAGTGTTAACTGTAACTGTCCATTCTAACTGAAATGAAAAAAAAACGATTGATTAGTGAATGCAGCTGTCAGTTGCCATAGTAACTTTATATTATTGACTTTCGAAGCAACTCTATTCAGTGCTAGTATATGTGTGCTTAAATCGCAGTGATCGGCTCTTTGTTTCACAGGGTAATCTGTCATTCGTAAACTCTGTTGAACAATTAATGAAAACTTCCATGACACCTATTTAAGACCCGGTTGTATATTTCCCCGTAGACTTATATTATTGATCCAGTACTCTTTATTTTTCTTCACTGAATTTGAGCGAGATAAAGCAGTACTTCATTTACAATATTTATAGTTTAGCAGGGCCCGTTACTTATCAAACTCTTCTTGTTTCCTATCAGTGAATTACTTGTTGGTTCTTTTAGGATGGTCGTTTTGGTAATTTAACGGCGATGAATTCATGTGCATACTGTGATTTACGTGAAATTCGAAATTAGATACCGTCGGTTTATATTCCTTTAAGTAGCATTATGAGGTCCGTTGTCTTAATAAACTCTTAGTAGTCGACAGATTTTTACTCATGCATCAGAAGTACGCATCACCGACATGTCAATTATTCAGACTTATAGAGGTAACCGATGCGAAATACACCCTGGTAAGTATGACGGAGAAGATTTGTAGCTCAAGTGGATGATTTTGATGTGGTTGAGTTCTCTGAGCTAGAAACTTTATCTGCGAAGCGCCCATTGCCCTACTAGGCAACATATTCAGCGCATACTTCAATTTATTGAAGTGAGCTTTTAGATTTCTCCACGAGTTGATTAATCATCTCTCCTGGTGACCTTGAACGCAACTGGTTGTTTCTGTGTGTTTTCATACCCTCTAGACTACTTGTATTGGAACTGATTGTTTCTTTAACTTGAACTTTGACTCATTGTATGTGAGATTTCCTTCTTATCGGTTAAACAGTTAGACAAAATTTACCAACCGATAAGAAGGAAATCTCACATACAAAGGGTCAAAGTTCAAGTTAAAGAAATAATCAGTTCCAATACAAGTAGTCTAGAGGGTGTGAAAACACACAGAAACAACCAGTTGCGTTCAAGGTCACCAGGAGAGATGATTAATAATAAATCTAAAAGCTCACTTCAATAAATTGAAGTATGCGCTGAATATATTGCCTAGTAGGGCAATGGGAGCTTTGGAAACAAACTACCTAGTTCAGAGAACACAAACACATCGGAAAACTCTGGTGAGTTAAACCATCTCCAACTAAGATGGAACTTTCATAATATCTCAAGAGGGATGGGTGTAACATTATGGAGTACACTTCGAAGTAAAGTTCAGCTGATCTACAGTTGCAGTATATTTGCTTACCATCAAACATAAGCCTCAATGGATTAAAGACATAGTTCATTCAACTGTAGCCCAGATTGCAAAAGCTGTCTTTTATTTTCAGAGGTGTAAATCAGCACTGCCCGTTGTTTGGGGGGTTATGAATTATTGTCTAGATTAATTAAGGTAATAGGTAGTGTATGAAAATCTGAAACAGTCCTATCAGACCGATGTGTATATCGTTTGTTATCCTGATAATTTATAATCATAGGGGAATAAGCTTGAATAATATGGTATTCAACATCCTAGGGTTCTTAGTCGTAAACAGATTAATCAGTGACCGAGAAAATATAATCAAGGAAACCATACAGCTCTCACACACAAACAAATATGCATTGATCAAATCTTCAATCTTTGATAAGTTACTGGTCGCAGAAATCATATCACAGAGACTGAGACTTGGCAATTTTCTTGATCTTATGGTGGAATTTCATCCCACTGGTTGAGAGGTGTTGCGGCAGTATCTGACTGTGAAGGGCGTGTTGAAAAGATCTGTTAACCGGGCACTTCGCTCTAATTTACGGAAATGCATCGCCCTTTTTACAAACGTTATTTCTGTATATATTGTACAGGGATTTGTTAGGTTCCAATTTACGATAGAGAAGAGACTAAATTTTTAACCATGGGTCACTTCGTTGAGTCATTCACTTGGGATGGTATATCCTGAAAGTAAAAGTGAAGTTAGTCGAAAAATGTAGTGTAATGCACCAATCTCAATCAATGAAAATGTGAAGCTCCATAGACATAGGTGGTTAAGATATGTGTTACGCATGCTGGTTAGCACTTTTGTCAAGGATTAATGGCAGCTGACGTCAGACTATTATTACTATTGTTCCTTTGAGTTCTGAGTGGAACATAAGGCTTCAACAGAACATCTCCACTTTGTTCTACTTTCTGCTGTCGTCTTTAGCTGGCTTACGACTGCCCGTAATATCTCATCTACCCCTCGCACCATCTCCTCCATGTCACGACCCCCATTGGGATTCCACTCGAGGGCCTGGCGCGCGATGTCAGACTAGTTTGGAGAAATGTTAGTTGTTTTTAGTCTGTCTGGGTGGGATCCCCAAGATGATTAGGAACAATAGTTGGGCACTGTTTATCGTTTATATTAGTGCAAATGTATATATTCACCCCTTTTCATATTTTTTCTCTTTTTTCCCAGCGGTTTATTGTGTTGACTGTGATGCCTATCGTATTGTTAGTGGATCAGCTGATGCTACAATCCGTGTATGGAATATTCGTACAAATGCAAAATGGTCTGTTCAAACACTTCGAGGACATTCAGATGCTGTACGCTGTGTACAACTGTTATCATTACCTCACCACTTATCCAACAATAGCAATAATCTGAATAATACAAATAATAACTCACCTCCTGTGCATTGTATTCATGAATCAATTGCTTCAATACCATGTTCACTTTGTAAATTGGATCCAACTATTAATTATCCTAATTGTTGGGAACCGCCTGAAGTTCTTCTTATATCTGGTAGTGCAGATACAACATTAAAACTATGGCATCTTTCATCAACCCCGAACTGGTCGCGTATCGCATGTACATGCACACTACAAGGGCACACTGATACTGTTCGATGTGTTCAAGTATGTAAACTTAATCGATATGACAGTGTTGTTTTTTGTTTTTTCATTCGTTCACACTCCCAGTGGAACATAGGGCTTCAAGCTAGAGGCTTGAAGCTCCGTAGCAGTCTTAATTTTTACAGGATGTGGGGTTGCTAGCCTCATGCCCAACATTTCCTCTTTACCAGCTTTATTATTGGCTTAGCGAGCAATCGAAAATATCCAGTAAAGTCCTACAGAAGGTCAGTCGCGAGCCTGAATAGCTCAGCGGTAACGTCTCTGACTACTTTTCTTGCTGGGTGACGTGGGTCCCAATCTCAGAAGGGACATGAGTTCCTTCAAGGTTGCAGATACGCCTTGCTGATGAGTGCCAACTAGCACGAAACCTAGGTCCAAAGCTTTCTGTCGCCGATTGCTTCCAACCATCTAATACCAACAATTCACAGTGCACCGTAATGGCGAGCCACCTAGCATGGTGGCCAAATTGCAAGCTTGATGATGCAATTCAGTCTGCAGTGAAGATAGGACTAGACACATTACACTAGTTACTGACTAGTGTGCAATCAAAAGTTCTACCGTTGTGTCACCGACGCACTGTGACAGTGTAAAAGTTTAGTAGTATTTTTCATGCTATTAGATAGTTGGAAGCGATCGGCCACAGGAAGCCTTGGACCTAGGTTTCGTGCTAGTTGGCACTCATCAGCAAGGCGTATCTGCAACCTTGAAGGAACTCATGTCCCTTCTGTGATTCGTACCCGTGTCACCCAGTGCTGCAGTCAGTATTTTTCATGCATTTCTTGATATTCGAATATATGATGTTTGTCTTTTTCATTCTGACATTTGGAAGACCAAAGAAAATTTGAGCAAAATATTCTTTTTGATAATTTCCTCTTCTGGCTCTCACTCTCTCTCTCTCTCTCTCTCTCTCTCTATATATATATATATATATATATATATATATATTGGTGTTTTTCAATACTATCGATTTGTTAAGATCAGTTTAATTACAGTTCACGAAAGATGCATAAATTATAATAATCATAAAAATGCAATAACATATAGAATATCAAATAAAACTAGGGAAATTTCCACAACACATCGAGGACTATTAAAACCTTGATGAATAAGCTAAGGACAGTATCTGAACCAATTTTGTTTTGGTTACCCAGATTAGATTTCTTAGTGTGGATCCCAACAGCCAGCCTCAGAAATATGTAGTAGACGAACTCTTAAGAAGGTAAAACTAAGATTAGTTGGTATGCAGTAGTTGACTTTGAAAGCCTCGTTAACATCAATTTTATGCTCTGTATCGATGAAATCAGATAGAATAGAGCTATGAATGGATTTTTTTGTCCCTTTCTTAACCACCATGCAGTGTGGTTTTCGGAAATCCAACGATAAACATGCTTAATTGTACGGTCTATGTGATTGACTCCTTAGGAGCAGTCAAACTGATAGATACACATAGAAGAGGCGAAATTAGATAGTTTGTCTTGAATTCTCAAACGTAAAATAGGGGTGGTTTCGAAGACAGCTTAATTCAGCAACACTGAATTCTCTTTTTACCCCATTTCTCAGGCGTTTTGTTAATATCTCATTGATGTTATCCCTGAGTAACTGAGGTTATAAGAATGTGGCCTTTTCTGAAACTTTTGGTACTTTAGCCCGCCTTGACTTTTGATATTCATATTCTTGTCGATGAATCTTTCTGGGTAACTGTACTCACTCAGCAATTGTTTATTAGTATTATACATTTCCATTCTTTTTGCTTTTTGAGTGGAATATAGGGCTTCAAGTGGTGGTGCCGCTAGCTTCACACCCAACCGCTCTTTTTCCAGCTTACTACCGGCAGTAAACTAAGTAGGGTTTCGGAGTGCGTCGATCAGTAATCGAACAAGCACTCCCTACGACGTTTTGCACAAAGGATGTTGTTCACTTCACATATTTCAATTTTTGTCTGGATTTAGACGTTGTACAGGTAGAATAAAATGTAATATCCTGAGGTAATATTCGTTATGAAAGAGTGGCAAATCGAATATATTTTTTAACATCTGTATAGGCTTTTTAGTACAAATAACCAAATGATTTTAAGTAATAAATATTCATAGATCCCTACTCTTTTAGAATATGAACCAGTAAACTGTATATACCTAGTGATGATTGTCAATAACCTTTCGTAAACTTGCACTTTTGGAATACATTGGATGAAATATGACCTATAACTTAAAAAGCCCTGCTGGTATGATATGTATCCATATAATATGTGTGTTTGTTTGACAGTCTGATCTTGGTGATATGTATCCATGTAATATGTGTGTCTGTTGACAGTCTGTTATATTTGCTAGGTATATATGGATCGATATTCCATTATAATTAGCTAATCATGTTAAGACTGTCTATTGATTTGTTCATTTTGAATATTCGCTCACACACTTGTATTCACACACTTGTTCGGACATTCATATTTTTGCTCTCACACACTTGTGTGACATTGATTCTCCTTGTGTTTTGGAAAATAGAAGTATCATCGCAAACCTAGTGGTCTTCTGATTTCCGTCTTTCTTGCGTCAGGACTATTAAATTCTCGACCAGTACATAACATATTATCAACCTGATGTCCCATATCGACAAGATGAGTTAGTGTTGAGCTTTGTATAGCTTTATATTTGATCCTTCGTATAACCACAATGGGAGGTGTTCATAAATTTGACAATGAATTTCTCTGATCGTACGCCTAATATAACTAGCCCCAAAGAGGCAGTTAAACTGATAAATTTTTTTCCTTCCCGAACGTAGGGCTTCAAGCTAGTGGCTTGAACTCTCTGTTGTAGTGTTTAATTTTTACAGGATGGGGTTGCTAGCCTCATGCTCAAGCTTTCCTCTTTACCAGCATTATTTCTGGCTTAGCGAGGTAAAGGAGTTTGTCGGTGGCCGGGGATCGAACTCCGGACCATGTGCATGATCGGCAAGCGTCCAAACCGCTATACCACCGACGCACAAACTGATAAATACGCACATAAAATAAGTGAAGGTTAGGCAAAAGACTGAATAAGGGCTGTACACAACTCTATGCTAACTCATTTTCTCCACATTGGGCATCAGGTTGATACCAACAAAGCTTTTTAAAGTTATTTATCATATTTCAACCAACGTTTCATATATTCTACTGGGATAAGAGAAGACTGATGAGCCTCGAAGACAATATTTGTTATGAAAAGGCATTGTATGTACATAAATTTGGTATACCTTGTTTTTGCAAATTAGTTGAATATCACCACATTTCTTTCGGTTCTCTTCTTCGACTACCTTTTTGCAGTGCCCAAAACGTATTGTTACTTTTCTGATCTCGTTTACTGATATACTACTTAAATCTGTTTATAAGTAGCACTCACCACGCTACCAGGACAACGTTTACATACACCAGAGATAATCGAAATTCAACCGAACAAACCGAATCTGTTTGATCAGAAGAAATTTCTTCATTCCTGTCTTACATGTTATGGAATTCATTGTTAAATCATCAATAGGCAAATGCTAATTCTGAAAGTCTGCCGCCATAATTTATTATGACTATTTATACCGTGCGAGTTTTTGGACACGAATTTAGTTGATACTGAATGGACATTAAGAAATGAGTTATGTCGGACTAGAAATTACTGTAATGATAATTATTATTATAATAAGCGATGAAAAACTACACTGTATTTTGGAAAATATAAAACTATGTAAGTAAACAAACAGATAATTATCCTCTAAAGATACAACTTTGGAAACACTAAATGTAAATTAATTCTGTAGCGTCTATTCGCTGAATGCTATCTTCTTAATTATCAGCATATTAGCCGATTAAATTATATATATGTATGCCTCTAGTGTTTCAGAAAACTGTACCTGTGGTGGTTCTCCGCTGCATTCCAAGCAATAATCATGATTTCTTTTCTTGCCTTTCGGGTAGGATAATTTTATTTTAGGATACTTGAATCAGAACGAGCTTTAGTGTTGCATGACCACAGGGGACAGTGGACAACTGCTTGAGGTCAGGTACACATGGCCTGGCTTGAATTAGTTTTTGGAGTTCTGTTCGTATTAAAATCCTACCGTTATCTACGGACTGCTTCAAGCTAAGTCTGGATACACACTTTTCGAGGTTGACTTTTCTAACTCCTCACTAGAGTGAAGAGATAGCGTCATAACTGGCTGATCGGTCAACCGAAGACCCTAGAGATAGCTGCTGCTATGACGTGATGGTCGGGCTTGCATAACGTAAGGACCTAATCAGCTACACTGGATGGAACTCAGGAAGATTGTTAGGATAGCGATTAGACTAAAAACAGCTACCGGAATAGTGGAAGATATTTTTTACACTATGTTGGGGGCTTTCGTCAAAATCGTACTGCTGGGGAACAGTGATGTAACAACAGTAAGGTGTTTCTCTCAGACGACTAGCATGCCAGCCAGCTATGCTGTCTCTCCACTTTGGAGAGAGGGGTTAAAAATGGTAGGCGCCAAGAATTTTACATCCCAACTTACCCTACCATGGTCCGTCCGTAGCGGACGGTAAGTTACTGATACAGAACCAAACCGAAAAACCTGTTCAGATAGGCTCTGTGTGACCAATCTCAAGCAGTTGTCCCCTGGGCTCTGCGGTCACGCAACAGTGTTTTAGGCAGCCCAAGAATAAACCAACTTTCATGGTGTGGGAAGCAACAACCACCCACACACTTCCGAAAGCACACGAAGTCCTCCTGGTCATCATCCTCCTTTATCACTGTCACTCTCTTCAGCTTGCTTTCTACTACTGTCACTACTGTTCGGCTGTCAGTCATCCGAAGAAAACACCCTACGGATTGATGTTGCATACCTACCTATTCCGCAGCAGTACAACTTCTCATACAAACCCCCAACATAGTGTCAACAACTGTAAACAATGAGGATTTAATCGCTGTGTAAACAACCATTCTAGCATGACAGGACCTGTAGGAATATTAGTTCTGGTCACTGTAGCTCTTTGGGAGTGATTTCGAAACCACCACTTCAAGGTATCTGTTATCGATGGGAAAATTGAAAAATCTTAACTTAAGACAAAGTCCAGGTGTCACGCACTTCCTAGACATATTATAATCTTTAGTATTACGGAGATATTGAGACTGACTAATGTTAACTTTGGAGACACACCGTATGCGATAACATGCAGTCTAATGGTTTAATTAATGCGGTAAATCAAATCTTGAGATCATCTTTATTTATTACTGGATTACACAATCTAGGGTAGTTATATAGGTGTTTATGTTTTACACTTCATTATCCTTTGTTTTTAATACACATAAATTATAAGTCGACTGTTTTTATTAGAAATTATGTCATCATGTCGTCTCAACTGATGAATAGCCTTTTCTATGTGTACCTGCGCTTATTGATTTCAATTTAGTGGATTTGCTTCCAGTCTCCCTTACTTCTTTTATGTGCTGTTTTCCGTATATATATGTATTCTCGTATGCAATTAATATAATGATACTAATAATTAGGATAATTCATTTCTATCCTTTGCTTTCACAATATAATTAAATATGAGTGTTGATTTCAACTTATTCAATGGATTCTTAACTATGTGACTCAAATTTATGAAGTGCACTAGACATATGAAGCATTAGAAGAGTCATTTAAATGAATAATTCTGAATTAGGTGAGCAACGTTGCCTAGATATTCATGGCATTTTTAATTCTGGCTTAACTTTTGGGAAATGAAGAGAAATAATGTTAGTTGGGTCGTTATATCTGCTGATCTTTGCTGGTCGTCTCATATCTTGATAATTTCTAAGAAAATATTCCGTCCTACTTCTATATCAAGAAGTTAAGACATTATGGAATAACCCAACCCTTACTCTTCGTTAACTCTTGCATCCTGCCTATTATTCTCTTTTGTTCCCCCTTAGTTTTTCCAGGGCTACTGAAGAAAGACTACCTTACTATGCAGAATGTTAAAGGTTGTCAGCAGGGTAAGCCACAGGATGCCACTTAACCAGCTTGTTAATATTCTGGTCGACAGGCGCTTGGACTCATGTCAAAAACGGGCTCAATCCATTCTATCTAACTCACACCACCCTCTTCATTCACAATTCTCCCCTTGTATCTCATCAGGCAGGACCAGAAGCCTATATAGAAAACCATATGCTCGCACTAGAAAGTACAAAAACTCAAACATACCCTACTTAGCTCGTGTTCTGTACGATAAAGAAAGCATTAGTCGTGATACCTATAACTTATTAAACAGTCAGTAGAACAACTGGATCTCGTCTTTCCAAGTCATATCATTTATTGGTACAACGTTTTCTTTCTTTCTTTTCCTTTCCTCTTTTTTTGTTATGTGCTGTTTTGTTTCTCTCTTCCTTACAAACTCTATTTATAACATTCTTTTTGGTTCTTTCACACTCTGTATATCTCGACCTTTTTGTTACCACTTACGCCAGTAAATATGCTAGCATATACTTTTCTGACACCTTCAAACACTGTTCAATTCTGGCTTTTCTACGGACATGCTAATATGTTGTTGTCGAAACTAACTGAGACTACCCATAATCTGTGTAGAATTTTATTTATTGTTAATGTACTAACTCGATGCAATAGTGTAGTGAACTGCTGAGAATTCCATTCTGTATCGCAAGTACTGTTTTGGAATAAAGCAAATTATTATTATTATTATAGACAGTCGCCAGAAAGCCGCTGGATCTAGGTTTCGTGCTTGTTAGCCACTCGTCATCTAAGCGCTTTTTCAATCTTGAAGAAACTTATGTCACTTCTGAGATTTGAGTCGGGGTCACATAGTAGTGCAGTCAGAGACGTTACCACTGAACTATTTGGGCTTGCGATTCACCTTCTGTAGGACTTCAGTTGATATTTTGATTGGACCTTAGGTGGTAATTAATGTCATGTGTCTAATTTCTCATTTGGTTTGTTTTGTGGCCACTAAGCGAGGCGGGTCGTCATCACGGGCCATTATGAATTGTTGTTATTAAGGGACTGGAAGCAGGAAGCCTTAGTCTTAGGTTTCTTCCTTGTTATCACTTGTTAGCTAGGCGTATCTGTAATTTTGAAGGTACTCATATCACTTTTGAGATGTGTTAGACAGTTACTTGATGTCAAACCAGTAGCTGAATAAATTTGTGCTCTTTGTGTCCTGTGAAGATTCCGTATATCTGTGGTACTCAGAGTTAATTGTAAATGTATACTTATTAAACAATGTAAACAGTCTTGAATGTGTTTACTTGTATTACTAATATTTTTGCTTTTATAATTGAGTACTACTACTTTAATGGCATGAAATAATCATCGACTGTTTCAGTAGTTCATTATGTGCATTGTTAATTCATTTTCTCTAATATATGTCGATTTGCTATCGTTTTAAGGCTGACCATGAAAAAGTGATTAGCGGTTCATATGATTGTACCCTACGTTTATGGAGTATACATAGTGGTCAGGTGAAAAGAATATTCCGGTGAGTAATATTTTAATCCTAATACAATATATTTCGCAATCGAATAAAATGTTTCTGATTAAAAATGCCCATTAATATTCTTCAGAAGAATAGTTACTGAACAAAGCAATATGCTTTCCGATAACCTCTCCTTCTTCATCAGGTTCTACAGTTATATGCACATAATAGTCAATGAATTTGTGTTAGTAACAATACTGATGTTAAAACAATTAGTCCCTTTGATAAATTTGAATAAGACAAATTTCGCGAGATGATATCTTCATTTCGTAGTTTTTCTACAACCGCTTTACATATAACGTAGTTAACAGTAATAAGATAAAATGCACGACAATTATTGACGAAATGCGCATCCTGGATTCCACTGGTAGTCACCATCCACCAATTAAATTATTGACTTATATAAAACAAAAGTACATACTAATGACCAGTCATATTTAAATAGGTCATGTAGTCCATGGTAGGCGAAGATTGAAGTCTATTGTTTTTTGTACACACAGTTTAGGCTGTATGTAATTAATCCAAAGTGCTTCCATAATTGTGTAACAGTCATTAATATTGATTTTATGACCTGACATTAATAAGTGTTTTGTAATGGATGATGCTGGATTTCTATTCACCTTACTCTCATTGGGATTTTCTACATGATTTAGTAGCCACTTCGGAGAATGTTCTTTTCGACGACATTGGAACATTCTTTTGGTTCTACCTATAGAGGTGTCAGGTGAACTTGTAGATACAGTTTGAAGTAGAGTCCACAGAATTTTGTCCTTTAATCGTAGGTACAGGGATCGAATATTTAGGCATGTTTGGAAAAGAGATGTGGCGTAGAATATGCATTTGATGGCTAACTGAAGTCTTTGAGCTGTCAACTGCATAATCTGGTCACCCGTGAATGATAGGTTAATAAAGATAGCTTTCTTTGGCACAGAAGCCGTCTTTTCGAGATGTGGTCTTTCTTTACTGTGACAAGTGATGAAGTTTTCCGGATAACCAACAGAAATCCAGCATCATCCATTGCAAAGCACTTATTAATGTCAGCTCACAAAATCAATATTGATGACTGTTTCACAATTATTTCACATAACTCTAATTCAAGGTTGGTTATTGAAGGTGATGGAAGCACTTTGTTTTAATCACATACAGTCTAAACTGTGTGTACAAAAAACAATAGACTTCAATCTCCGCTTACCATGGACTACATGACCTATTTAAATATGATTGGTCACTAGCATGTTTTGTTTTGTTTTTTATTCAACTGAGTAATTGTCATGATCTATATTTTATTATTATTGTTAACCGTGTTAGTTGTAAAGCGGTTGTAAAGAAACTAAGAAATGATATCATCTCGCGAAATTTGTCTTCTAAATGCCTTATTCAAATGCTGATGTTTAAATAACATCGAATTAATAATAATAATATCACTAGATTACAGTTCGATACCATCAACATGACGATACCCTGAATATCAGAAAAATTAAGAAAAATAATAACACATTCATGAATTTATGGTCTACACTGTTAACCAGAGCAGTATTAGTGGCTGGACTTGCTTATTCTTGCAATTCAGTGGCGATATACCTAGTGAGTTAATTACGAAAACGTTAAGGAAATCAGTTCAAAGGACTGTTAATGCTGGCAAACTATAAGTCTTATTTTCTACACCACCGATGGTGATTCCTCAATGGAAAGATGAAGTACTTAGACTAACCACTCCTAATCGTATCTACCAATTCAACTGCGCTTGTGGAGCGAGTTATATTGGCTGTTGCTCTAGGAACTTGATTTTTTGTGCTCACTTGGGAACCACCTACTAGTGTAATAAAAACCATCAACAGTTCGATATCAGACTACCTGATCCAAACTGGCATAAAGCCAGAATTGAAGAATCTTTCTTTATCATCTACTGAGTGTACCAAACAAGTTTCCAAAAACATTCAGGTACCGCATACTCCAAACAGCTAAGACTATAACGATTAGTCTGAAAAAACCGATGCTCTGTGTACAGAAAAAGTAAGCCCAGCCACCACTACTCCTGTGACCTTCAGTGGAGACTATAAATTCATGAATTCATTGTATTATTATCTTTCCTAATTTCTCTGATATTCAGTGAATTGTTATGTTGATGTTGTTGAACTGTAACTCATTATTGTTACTATTATTGATTCGATGTTATTTAAAGAACATTAATCTTGTTAATGACACTAATTCATTGATTCACTATTATGTATGTATAACTGTTGAAGCTCTTGAAGAAGAGGTTATCGATAAGAATATTTTTTTTTCAGTAAGCATTCTTTCAAACTGTTTAACCTAATTTTACTATGTTAGACCAAAAATAATGTAAGGCTAGAACAATTGAAAGACAATCTGAATGATAGTGAGTCGACTACAGGTTAATCAATGCATTGAATAAGGTGTGAGTGCTATCTCCTGGATGAGTTCCAATTCGCTTTTTTTATCATTTAAGTACAAAGTGGAGCTTTAAGTCATTGGCTTCAGCACTCGATTTTTAACCGATTGGTCTTAGGATTGACTCTCACTCCGCCCAAACTCATCCTAGGCAAACTAGTTAGTATCATCGGCTTCTAACACTATTAGGATGACTCTTAGCCTGGTACATGAAAAATCTGTCTAGGGTAACTGAGTCTAGATAAACAAATAAATAACCGCGAAGTATTTTTGTGTTTTACAAGATAGACAGGAGCACCCGTGTTTACATTCACCTTTGTTGGTGATTTTTTTATATTAACGTATGCACCAATGTGTGAATGATATTGAAAGAGAAAGTTATATTGATGGTGGATTCATTCAATTATAACTTATTCACTAATGTTTATAGTAGTAATTAGAATTATTTAGTCTATGAGATTGTTTATTTTATTGCAGATTATATCGCTTTATTTTTAATTGTTTGGAGAAAAACTCTCTTACTTTAATAATCGTATAACCTTTTATTTGTGTCTGTATTTATTTACAGTGGTCATTCAGCCGGTATAACTTGTCTAGTGTACAGTGATAATCTTCTTTATTCTGGTTCTCTGGATAATACAGTTCGAGTAGGTTTCCTTTTTTTTGTGCCGTGCTTCATACTTCTACTGTTTTGTTATTAATATGAATGGAATTTTTTACTGAAGACTGCCTACTGATTGTCTCTACTATTGGAATGGTGGTTGGGCTTGTATATAGCAATGACGCAGCGAATTACCTTGACAGGTAACTAATGTTCTCCTGCAGTTCCTACCATTCCGGAAAGGTTGTTTGGATAACGGTCAGATGGAAAGCAATATAAGTTGCTTACAATAAGTTGGGGGGGGGGTGGTCTTTGGGTATAAAAGTAATAAGATATTTCCTTTGGATGACCAGAAAGTTAGTATGCTGCCTCTCTGCTCTATAGAGAGGGGATTAGAAAGTCTCTACTCCGAGAAATGAACATCCAGACGTATCTTACGGCGGTTGGTAGACTGCGTTGGCATCTTAATACGAACCACTTCAAACAGGCTGTGTTTGTGACCGGCCTCAAACAGTTGTTTTCTGGGTTCTTCGGTCACGCAAACCTAATACTCCTGCTTCAGATACCCCAAAAAGAAGTCCACATTTATGGTGTATGTGGACGGGATATAATAACCTCCCACACATTTTTGTAACCACACAAAGCTTTCATGACCATCACTTGCCTTCACCTCCATCATATACTGAAGTACAAAGCGTACTTCATTTAGGCAATAAATAAAAGTTTCATTAACAGCTAACATTTCCTATCAAGGATGGTGATGCTATATGGGAACACTTCTCCAGCCACCTTAGTTAGTACAGATCTCCGATTCCATCGAGTAGTTTGTTTTCTTTACCCAACGATTCACATTCATCTCTAGTGCAACTCGCCTTATAAATCATGAATAGTGATAAAACGGCGTACATGATCAGAAATCTGTAGCCATTAAAATGTATCTTCCATCTTCATTGTATATCGTTCGTGGCTGTAAAATAGAAGAGAATGACTGGTGCTTTGTATGGTTTTTCTTTTCATTGAGAACAAGAGATTTGTGATTAGTGCCAGACGGTTCATTTTGGTGGGCGGTAAACGGGCCCTTTTCGCATCAGTGATTAGATTTCACTTACGCGAGCCCTTTTGACTGGGAGCAAACGGCTTCCTGAACAATAAAGCAGTCAGCGTATTCAATTATACTGAGATGTTCATATAGTTATCTGTTATGTGTAGAACACTAGAATTATTATTGAACGGCCATTTTTTAGAAAGAAACTTTCACTGCATCCTTAGTTGCTGTTTGGAGTCGATGATAAGAAAAGCTAATTATTAATCCTATTTTAGGATTAGTCACCTGCTTATATCAGTTAAACAACTATTGAAAAGCCTTAGAGCACTGAATAACTGTTTCGTCTTAGTTTTGGACTTTTTAGCTGTCCGCACGCACTGGGGCTTGAACCCAGAACCTTCTGGTTGCACGTCAAGCTCACGCACCATTCAGCTACTGACAGCTGCTCTTTCTCTCCCTTTATATATATATATATATATATATATATATATATATATATATCATAAATTGCCAGAAGTTGGAATTCATGGACAATTGGATCGAGTTCCAGTGGCCAAAATGGTCTACGAACTCGTCTTGTAAACGGGAGGTCCTTGGTTCGGACTCTGGTGTGTGCGTGTGTGTGTGCTGATGAGGAGTCCCAAACTGGGACAAAGTAGGTGTTCAGTACTTCTAGGTTTTTCTAATGGTTCTCTAATTAATGTCAGCTAATGATCGATCTTGTAACCAATCGAATCCCTGCAAACCAAACGCTAGATTATCCTATTCTACGTAAATTATTTCCAGTTTGATACATACAGTAATATGTTAGAATTAAATGCTGAAAAGACTTCAGTTTCACTGTTATGTATGGTAATTTTAATTTTGATTTCAACACACTCTAGTTTTATATATTTAAGCTTTATTACAAGGGTCTACGGTAGACAACAAATTTAGTGAAGTGAATTCGCAATATGGAATTTGCACAGTTTGAGATCATATTTTACCACAGTTTCTTTTGGAAACCGAAATTATTCAAATCACAGCATGCTGACTGCTTGATACCATAAATTGTTATCAATAAAGCAAGTAATAATGCATGCCGCCATATACTGCTGATTATTTGATATGGGTAGCTTAAACTGATTCGGTTATGTGAACTGAGTCAAAGGTGTGATGACGGACGAAACGGCCGTCCGGTGTTAAGATTACTTCGATATTCTGTCTGTCTAGTAAGCACTACTGGTTGATTTGAGTGGTATACAACTACTTGTCTCAACCAATCAGTAGTATATAATAAATTTCATAGTTTAGATTTCCAGTCACTGTCATTTAGAATAAATTCTGTAAGAACCATTAGGTCTTAGTTGTTTTAATGATTTTGCTACTATTATTATTGTTGTTCCCTTGAGTTCCGAGTGGAACACGACTCCATTTTGTCCTGTTCTCTGCAGTGCTTTTCAGTTAGCCCAACGATTCCCCACATGCCTTTATCTCCTGATTATACGAACTCCCTCATATCATCCAAGGACTCATACCCAACTCGCCGTTTCCCACTAGGGTTTCACTCGAGCTATAACCTGTCACGCTATGTCACTCAACGGTTTGCTCAACGTGTGTCTGATCCATCGCCATTTGCTTCGGAATATTTGTTGGGAAGTGGTTCGTTCGTTGGTTAGTTCGTTTCCAGATTTCCTCATCAAAGGGAATGTTACACTTTCATAAACTCTTCTTTTCTTGCAACTTTTGGACTAAATAATTAGATTTGTCTTATTTTGGCGATACATACTTGCGCGCATATGTATGCATGTATGAGTCTTTCATGGATTACGAATGCACCAATGGACTTGAGGTAACCAATGATATAAACCGGTGGGGTTTTGTTTTTGACGTAAAAGTGCCGTTTATCACTAGGAAAATACAAACAATGATAATAATAATAAAAAACACCCAAATCCTGACGTGCTGTCAGTCCCATTATCCAAACAGTACTTAAAAACAGAATCGGGATGAAATTTCAACCTCAGTTTGTGAGCAGCATTCATAGTGGCGCTGTAATAATACCAGGCTCTGTGATCCAACGAATGGTATGCATTCAAGGTCACTGGTGCGTTCGCACTTTTCGAAACATGCATCATCATCGAGCAAAGCATGGAATAGCAATCAAACCTCTGCCTCAACTTTATAGACTTTGAGAAGGCCTTCGACAGCGTTGATCGTGAAGTAATTTGGAAATTACTCGAGTACTATGGCGTACCCCAAATATTCATCAACCTCATTCAACAGCTGTACGACAACGGTACATGTCAAGTGATCCACAACGGAAAACTCAGCAAGGCGTTTGGAGTAAACACAGGAGTAAGACAAGGGTGCTTACTATCACCAATGATATTCCTAATTGTGGTTGACAACTGGATTATGCGTCAGACAGTGGGAAACGAGAAGACAGGAATACCTTGGACCGACGTGAAGAACCTAGAAGACCTGGATTTCGCGGATGATTTATGTTTGATGTCACACACAATCGAAGACTTACAAGCGAAAACCGACAAACTGGTCGAAGAAGCAGTCGGTGAAGACAGGACTCCAAGTGAACATAGACAAGACGGAGGTGACGAAAATAACCAACCAGCCAACAACAACAGCAACATCCAGCGTCAATCACCATCGACGGGAGGGATTTGAAAGAGGTTGCTTCATTCACTTATCATCTAGGAACCATTGTCTCTCAACTACAGGCAGTCGAACGGACGAGGATGTCAAATCGAGCGACAAACACATTCATCAACCTGAAACCAATCTGGAGATCTTCGTCACTCAGCATCAACAACAAAATTCGGTCGGATTTTCAATACAAACAACGTCAAGTGAGTCAGTTCTTCTATACGGATCAGAAACTTGGCGGGCGGGTCACAAAGAATATTTCCAACAGCCTGTTGCAGACATTACGTTTATCAATAACTGTCTTCGCTGGCTCTTTACTGAAGATCAATCAGATGGCCGGGCCGGAAAGAATCACCAACAAGAAACTATGGGAACAAACAAAACAATAACCAATCAATCGCCCAACAAATATGCAGGAGAAATTGGATTGAGATGGATTGGACACTCGCTGAGGAGGCCGCGAGGTGACATCGCGCGCGCGTCAGACCATCGCTCGAGTGGAACCCGAAAGCCAAGCGGCGAGTGGGTTGTCGGTGCAAAGGTGACATGGAGGAGATCATGTGAAGAAGAGTTGAAACAGTATGGATTAACATGGATGCAGGTGAAAAGCACAGCAGAAGACAGAAACAAGTGGAGACGTGCATTTGAAACCCTATGTTCCACTAGGAACCCAAGGGAACAATAATAATAATAGCTTAACTTTAGCCCTTTCATGTATTGAGTGTTTTGTTTCAAATGTAAGCGTATATTTATTTGGAAGATTTATCATATTCTACATGTGCTGTAAATATCTCCATGATTTCAACCCATGAACTCACTATCTTGTAGTTTTTTTTTCTTTTATTTCATTGAAAACATGAATCTGTTAAATTAATTATATGAGTTATCCTATTGGGAATCGGAGAAGTATTTTACTACTTCACACTTCGTGTGTTTTAATACTTATCTATGGTCGAATTTATATGCTTCATAAAAGAAATATTTGGAGTATTTGTATGTGTATGTTATCTGTCTTTTGCTGCTAATTTAATAGGCATACTTCTTAACAGATATGTGTATATTAACACTTGAAAAAAAATTGAATCCCATCGATAACGGGAGAAGATAACAGACGTGATTAGGTGAAAAACACATAATATATGTACATTTTTAGACACAGTGAAGTTCAGCTAAGTCAGGGGTGAATGAATTGATCTGATTGGTAGGCGATTGGCCCAAGGTTAAACGTGTCATCCAATGAGATTATTTCATTGTACAACGTAAACTAAATTCAGCTTTGAGAACAAATACTTCTGTGTCTACAGCCATTGAGTTAAAATGCTGATTTCGATTTCGGCCGCTACCTATCAATCTCCATCACGCCACACATCTAAACACACAAGAAGTCATTTTTGATGATATTTTCCATTCATTCCTGAATTTTACATTGGATACACACCGTTACATGAAAAGATGGTGTAACCTAACGAATTTTTATGCTGTTACCTGAAAGCATTTGTAGAACTGATGAATTAAAGGTATTTTACTGGGTTTTTTGTATTCCTTTACGGTCTCAGTGGAACTTAGGGCTTCAAGCTAGAGCTTTGAAGTTTCGGTAGCAGTGGTATTTTTTATTTTTATGAGATGAGGATGCTAGCCTCGTGCCCATCTTTCCATCTTTACCAGTCTTATTACTGGCTTAGCGAGGTAAAGGAGTGTGTCGGCCAGTTGTGTTTGGTAGCCTGGATCGAAGTGGTCTAAAACTCGAGCCGGCCATTTCACTCATTGAAGATTTCCCCATCAGTACTTGCTTTCTTGACTGTTATTGACGGCATCAAGTAGCTTACATATTGTGAGTGAAATATTTTTCGTATCCATGGGAAACTGTGACGACAGATAGGCGGATTCAAACAATATACCTTCCGGTATTGGTGCCTAATGATTTTTTTCCTTCACGTTCCCCGGCGGAGCATACGGCTTCAAGCTAAAGACTTGAAGTTTCTGTAGCAGTGTTTATTTTACAGGATGGGGTTGCTAGCCTCATTCCCAACCTTTCCTCTTCACCAGCATTATTTCTGGCTTAGCGAGGTAAAGGAGTGTGTCGGTGGCCGGGGATCGAACCCCGGACCATGTACACGGTCGGCGGGTTTCCTAACCGTTATGTCACCGACGCCCATGATTATTGATTAAATATGGTATATATATATATATATATATATATATTTAATATATATCGCTTGTATCTGTCCATATCAAGCTGCAAGTAAATAATACCGTCACCAGGTTCTGTCATCTGCAACCGTTACGAGTGCACATCATAGATAAGATCTAACTTTGTATCAGCTGTACTTGTGCGTCGGTGGCACAGTGGTTAGGACTCTTGTCGACCATGCACATGATCCGTAGTTCAATCCCTTGCCGACGCACACCCGATATCTATGTTCGGCCTGCAAAATTTGGGCTACCGATATCCATACTGAAAATTCCTTACTTGTGCCGAAAATACGGTGTAGCATCAAGCTGTAATCAAAATAACAAATAGAAAATTTAAATAAAGCAGAAATAGAATATACTGCTTGACCAAATTAATCGACAGACGTTTATCATTTCATCAGCTTGCATTTCTACATTATCTAACACACTACTGAAAAAAGTTTTTGTCAACGCCAACTTATTTTACATTTAACTTTATATATCGAAGATAGACTCTATTCCATACAATTACATATGTAAAAGGGGTTGTATTACTACTAGTGTGGTGAGAGCAGGCTGCTAGCCGATTGGTTGGCACTAATCGACGTTAAGGTCTAGGTCACTAATATGGGCCGTGAACAAGCCTGAGTCAACAACCAATCACAGCAAAGTTAACGTGGCAAAATATGATTCGCAGAGAGAACTCTATTTGTCAAGGAATCCCGAAACAACCAATCAGAAGCCTGCGTTTGTCTACCTAAACAACCAATCAGATGACTGCGCTTGTCTATAATAATGTAGTTGAAAGATGTATAAATACGTGTTGATTTTCATAATAAAACGATCTGTTGCCTGGCCCTTGTCTTCTGTTGTTACACTAGGATTTCCGTACTGAAAGATTACTCCTAGTATATCTGTTTATGTTGGGGGTGTTGGAGGTGGTCTGTGTCTAGACAGATAAAAAGTTGTGAACATTTTTCGGAAATGGTGGTATTGACAAATAATGAATACGCCCTCAATTTCTCAGAAAGAAAAAAGCACTTTAAAAAAAAGCATCTCACTTATTTCATCTTACTAAGCCTAAGACTGATGTGACTAGAAACAAAATAATATATTCCATATTACTTTTCTGGCCTTCCCTTCCCTTATCTGCATACGACAACATACTATGAAGTTGCTTAGTCCCTGTGTTTGTCTCAAAAGCTGCATCAATGGTGCAGAATAGCCTTTGAGGCAAACTGTTCATAATCATAAAGGCAGATGAGGAGTGGTGAGTATGTTTTGGAAACAGTGGTAATGAATGAGTTGAAAGAAATTGTATATGTGCAAAAATAGCTTCGATTTCCCATACTGTTTACAAAAAAGCACTTCCAGATACCGCGACACACTTATTTCATCGTCTTACTTTTGGTTCCCTTGATATGAAACAGCAGATGTCCAGTACTCCCTGGTTTTCAATGGTTCTCTAACTGATATCAATCTGTGATCAACTCGTAAAAACATAACTAACCCTTACAAACCCTTGATATGTTTCAATAAAGAAAAAAGGACCAGATTTGCAGTAAAAAATAATATCATTCTATTTCATAGGTTCTCCATGTACCTGAAATTACAATGATTATAGAAGAATGACAATAATAACATACTTCAATGTATGAATAATAATAAAGGAAAGTAGGGGGTGGGGGTTGGAAAAGACAGAAAACAAAAAGATCTAATAAGCATTCTTAGCATATTGGTTTAAGTAGCAACTCAAGAAGGTTATAGTTCATAAAATTGGAAACTTGCTCAGTGACCTGTATTTACTAATATGGATGACTTATCAGTGTAATCGTACACCTAAGACTATAGTGGGTCATAAACTTGAAGCGTGACGAAAAGCATTTCCAAAAGGCCATTTCACACTTTATTCGACAGCTGCCCACCTTCGCTAGCTCCATGCTGAAGATTTTATGACCATTCAGAAGGAATTAGTAACAAGAAACTTTGGGAGTGAACCAGTCAAAAACCTGTTGTTCAGCAAATGTGTAGAAGGAAATGGAGATCGGTTCGATACACGCCGAGGAGTGCGTAGGGAGATATCGCACTCCAGACTATCTCTCGACTGGAACCTGAATAGGAAACGACGATTTGGGCGTGAGTGGGAGGGTGACATGGAGGAGATGGTGTGAGAAGGAAATAAAAGCTTATAGGCAAACGTGGGGCCATCTGAAGAGTAGTGCAGAGAACCGGATGCAATAGAGACGTGCTGTTGAAACCCCATGTTCCACTCGGAACTCGTAGGAGTAATATAATAAATAATAATAAGACTGTGATGATGATATTGTCGACCAAACACATTAATATATCTGATTCCTTTTCTAACCTTGTCCGACTACGACAATATACTACGAATTCGCTTAATCCCTGTTTTGTTTGAAAAGCTGTAGTTATTGTGCTGTATGTCAATTTCCCTGTATCAATGGTGTAGAATAGCCTATGAGGAGACTTGTTCATGATGGGAAAGCAGTACAGCAACTTAAATGTTTCCTCACAAACCGTTAATTGTATGATTTTTCAATCACTTATTGATTGATTTCTGTCTGGTTGATAATCTATGTGCCTTGATCCAGTAGTGTACTAAGCAAAAAATAAAATTGTCATTTTATATTAATTGGTCATTAAGGAGGAGTAACAAGTGTCATATGTTCAAATCTTTGGTTGTGATGACGACGGAATTCCATCAGTTGATTTGTAATGTTTTCTGAAATCTAGATGACTTGTCATCATGTTGTACTTTTTAGGTGGAGGGCGGGGCTCACTGGCTTAGACATTCGAATTTCAATCAGTTGGTTCAGGGTTTGAATCTTACTAGACTTACTTCAATCTAGGCAATTTGGTGGTATCACCAGCCATGTTATTTATTGCCTCATGGCCTGGAACGTAAGAAACCTGTTTCGGGAACTGAGTTATTGAAAGATGTACCTCTTAAAATAACGTCGCATGATTGAAAGGGATCTACAGGTGGCCTTGCACCTAGGTTGTATGCTTGTTGGCACTCGTCGACAAGATGTATTTGCATTCTTGCAGGATTACATTGTTCCTTGTGAAATTCGAACCGTGTCACCTAGTGGTGCAGTCATGAAAGTTATCACTGATTTGTTCAAGCCCAATTGGCTATCAATTGCCTCTAACCATTCAGTAATAAAAAATTCAGAGTGCACCGCGATGACGTGAACCACCTTACTTGGTGTCCACATTACAAACCTGACCAATAGAATTCAGTTTGCACCAAATGAAAGCACTAAGCCAGTGTCTAACTAAAGTATTAGTATGTAGAGATTCTGACTAGTGTACTCTTGTGCTTCGTACTTTGCGTGTTTTGTCATTTAAAAAAAAAGCTTATTTGTATAAAAAATAATTTTGATATTTAATGTTCTCTTCTTTTTTTAAATTTCATTAGATATGGAATATATCTACTGGTGTATGTTATTATACACTAGCTCGACCCATATTTTCAAGTAATCTACCCGAAGTGTCCATCTCGTCTTCCGTTTCATGCTTACACTTGGATTATGCACAGAATAGACTTGTTGTAGCCTATCACGACGGTGTAGTATTAACTAAGCATTTATCAGTACTTGTTGAATTGATGAAACCTCATCAACGCGACAACACCTACAATACTACTACTAATTCTATTAGTAGTAGTAGTAGTAATAATGGTGATCAAAGTCATAGTATAGCACACTGGTCACTTTCGTCAGATACGATCTATTTAGATGAATATTTATATACAAATGATTATAAATCAGGTACGCTAATTCGTTGTTTAACTGGTGATGCATGGCATATTATATGCGGTTCGGATGATAAATCGATAAAGGTGAGTAGAAGAGACAATTTCACCTTGTGTGTTTATTCACTTGACATTTTTATAATATACATTATAATATCATTTTCTTCTTGCTTAATACCACTGAGGAGTATGTATTATTATTCGTTTTTTTTAATTCCTTTACGTTCCCAGTGGAAACTAGGGCTTCAAGCTAGAGTTTTAAATTTTCGGTAGCCATAGGTTTTTTTTTATTTTTACAAGATGGGGTTGCTAACCTCATGTCCAACCTTCCCCCTTTACCAGTCTTATTACTGGCTTAGCAAGGTAAAGGAGTGCGTCAGTCGAGGATCGATCCCTTGACCACTTGCGTAGTTGGTTGCCAAAGGTTCTTCCACTGAATTACTCACTGACGTAAGTGGAGTATGCACTGTAGGTTTTTAGAAAAGAATCAAGGATGTGAGGCTTGTTGATAAATATGTTGACTTTATATTCCCTAGTTTTCATTTTGTGATTTGAATTCATTTTTTTAACTCATTTTTATTTAAAAGAATGATCTTTCCGATGAATTCATCACCAAGCTCCTCATGGAGCCAGTTATATTGGTCCTTGCTTTAGGAATTTAGTTTTTGTACTCGGGAACACCTACCACCAGTGTGATTATATAAAGGTGTTCTTAAAACCATCAGTAACTCTAAATTAGTTCACGTCGTCCAAACAAACAATAAAGCTAGCAGCATTGAATAGTCTTTCTCTATGAAATAAATTTCCAAAGTCTCTAATTAACCTAACACTCCAAATGAAAGAGGCCGTTACACTTCGCCTAAATCAACTGGTGCTCTGCGTGTAAATCAAAAGACAAGTCCATAGTATTCTATTGAACTGATAAATTCATGAATTCTGTGTTACTTCCCTTAACTCACCTGATATTCAATCACTTTAGTGATATACGAATGCATATTATCTCTCTCTCTCTCTCTCACTGATGCTTTTGAAATATAATCGTCTATTGGTACTAGTGATTCAATCTAATTTAAAACATGAATGTTGTTAATAAATTAATTTTCCTTCAATTATATTATGGTATGGAAGCTGATGAATAAGAGATTATCGATAGGAATATTCTTTGTTCATTATTCAGTCTTTTTTAAAACTTTTATGGGCATCTTCAATCACTTTATTTAATTCTTCAATCAATTTAATAGCTTTTTAAAGGTATTTTTACTGTGTAAAAGTATACTGAAGAATAGCACCTTAATTTCATAATCTACTTCGCATAAATCCACTTAATGGTTAACAAGAAAGCATCAGACGGAAGCCAAAGTATCGTATTCTGTTGCTCATGCCAAATTGAACTGTGGGAACATGTGTGAATGATATTCCGTTGGCACACATTATCTGTATCACACCACCACCACCACCACAATGGTGTTATAGATTGTACTTCTATTTTACGGTAGTCACTTAAAAATATACTTGAATAAAAACAAAGTAGCTTTTAGTTTTTGTGATGAACTCTGAAACTTAATCAATCAGTTTAGATCATTCTTCTTTGTTTGTGAGCAGTATTGGATAGAGTGAATGATGTTCTTATTTATAATTGGTTATTAATTTTATTTTAAATGGCGAAATAACTGTAAAATGAATATAATAGTTACTCCTTCAAAACCTATCGTAGATATGGAATATATATATATATATATATATATATATATATATGAGTGTTGGGAAGCTGTTTCGTTCTAGATTGGGGCTCTTCAACAGCAGGCACCCACCGGGTTTCAAACATCCTGGTTACAAGGCGGGCTTGTAGACCATTAAGCCAGCGGGACCCGATCCAATAGTCCATAAATCCCAGCTTTTGCCAATTCACGACATAGTGCGACCACTAGCTAGTGTCTTCGGGGAGTATTTGTCCTCACGCCCTTCCAAGTTTTCCAGGGGTTCTATAATGGATGTCAGATCATGATGTTTTCCTGTGACCAATCAATCAAATCCATACAAACCAATACTTGAACATATATATAATCTGTAGTCCACCGGTGTAGTGACTTGATTATCTTTCACTGAGTCCGTTTTAATCCTCGAACTCTGCTCCATCTATGCAAATTGTGACTCACTGGACAGTTAGGTGATGTGTGCCATCTTAGTATAAAGATATAGGGGGACATCACTGGTGTTTAAGTGACAAGAATCCATGTCCAACCGATACGTGTTTTCGGAGAAACAATGGACTATGTAAGGAAAAAAGAATGACTAACTCACTTAATTTCATTATTAAACTTTGAACAGAATGTCAGCAGTACAATTTCGCCACACTCCATGTCGCACACAGGGGTGGAGTAAAGAGAGAAAAAGGAGACCGAATGGAGCTACGATGAACAGAAATGTGCAAGAGTTAGTATAGTGACATGTTAAAAAACCCAGGAGGATTTAATTTATCTCTGGTAGATTACAAAAGGTGAAGAATTCATCTGTTCCACTTAAAACGATTTTGGGATATATCACGAATCGTCTCGAGCCATTGGTTCTTACTACTATGAGGTTCCAGCTATGTAGATTTTAAATCTCCCTTCGTGACCCAAAGCAAATATTAAATACGTCAAACATACCAGGTTTGATATAACCGTCTGTAACTCTTTACCAACCGAATCCTGTCAATTAACTTTGCTGTTCAAAATGGGGTGTAGCCAGGCTTACATAAACGTGCCCCCTAGCCATCCCAGTCGACGCAGTTTCACAACCTTCTTTTCCTTACCTTACGCCTAACTTCAATTTTCTTCACCGTATTATACTACTTAGCACAGGAAATAGGACGCGAACATCTTTGACCTTTTACTTTCAACGGCCATAAACAAGCTCACAGCAAACTGCTCCTACTACCCGCGTCCTTCGATAGGTAATTGGATATCACATCTACACCAGAAATGACGTAGAGTTAAGAAAAAGGATAGGTCTCCAATAAACGGTCAGAAACTAGATGACAACTTATCGTAAATATACAATATAGACATTGGTTTGCATGAAGCAGTTTCATTTTTGAAGTTTTAATATTCAACTAGTACTTGAACAATTTTTCGGGATCAAAATTTTCACTGGTCATCATGTTATTCTCTACAACTATTAATAGTACTCCATGAAATATAGTTTCCTATTTGATGAATAGGATTTTGTTATTAGTTGCTTGGGGATTACTCGAAAAGTTATATTTTTACCCCACTGATTCCTACCTGTTTGGCGTCAACGATTGTCTCTACACTACTGTGCTGTTTCAGTCTTCATGTTGATTTTCGGTGTAACAAATTGTTTAAAAGTTCTACTTATTTGCATTTTCGAGTAGCAGTAGTAGTAGTATATTGTCTGTGTATTTCCTTTATTTCTTGCCCAAATATATTCGCATTAATCATCTTTATGCTTTCTTCTTTTACTTCTATTTCCTGTTATTATTACGTAAGAGTTCCCGCTATAGGCTTTATTGACAAACTGAACTGTATATGCTTGTAAAAGGAATTAATTTTTGAGACTTCATCATTCAAAAAGAAGAAATAATAATTTCTTTTGTATGGCTCTTTTAAGTCACTAGTTATTTTTCACCTTTTTATATGAATTGTAAATGAAGTGTATGAATTTTAATCATAGAATAAGTAAGTTTATTCATCTATAGTTTTAGTCTGTGTCGTTCCTAAATAGATTCCAATGTAGGAGGGACACAAGTCACAGTATTCCACAACTTCTTCAACAACACCATCATTTAATTATTCTTCTTAATTATTACGATCAACTGGATTAGTTCTACAAAATATATCCGTGTATTTCTTGATACATTAATGTACATATGCATTTCATTTCATTCTTTTGAGTAGGGCTTCAAGTTTTGAGTTTTGAAGTTTCTGTAGCGTTGACTTTGTCTTCCCGCCACATTAGCCTTGCATTAAATCAGTCTGTAAAGTGGATGTATCATTTTTCTGCCTTGATTTAACATAAAGTTTGTTAGATTAAACAAACATCATTTCTATTGGTAGTGAATAAGCTATCTCGAATGTGTTCATCTAAGTTTTATCGATTATCATTCTGTTATTTTTTGTATGATTGTGTTAAGTGCACACTTAGATATCATTCAAAAAACAACAACAACAAATAATTAGCGGCCTACTTAAACCACTGAGTTACCTAGATTCTTTATCTATCAACATGCATCGTATTTACTCTGTTTCACATTGTTTTAATGATCCAATTACTACAGTGGGTCACATTTCATTCTGACGCACTATTTCAAATAAATTTCTACCTACCACTAAGAATTTTCGAGAGGAAATAAAGGAAGAACGTTGTGAAGTAGTAGTGTAACGACAGAAGACAAAGCCAGGCAACAAATCATTATTGAGAAAATCAAAAGATATTTATAAATTTTTATGTACATTATTATTAGCGGTTTTGTTAGCAGAGAAGCAACGTCTCGTGGTTGGTTGTTTTCTTGCTGTACTGCTTGTGACCGTTTCTTAGAAAGGTAAGCCATTTATCTGCAAATCGTAACTGCACACGTTAAGTCTGCTGTGATTGGTTGTTGCGTTCCTCAAGGTTAAGCTTTGTTATTGTTTTTTCTCATGACCCCGATCGGAAAGTAAACATTGACGTAAATTGTTGTCTACAGTTTTGGCTTGTATACAGCTCTCACACAGTAGTACTGAAGCAGGCTTCGAGTAGAACAATATTACTTCAGATGATGTATCAGGGATTATTACACTATTCGAAATCTTGCAGAAGAAGTAAATACCTCGCAATGGAACTCACTGAAAATTCTGTATTGTGTGTAAATGCATTTTTCAGAATACCGATGTGATTATTAATATTACCTAGGCAATATGCTTTGCACTTACAGTGTAATGATGTTTTATTGTCATCTGGTTATTTAAAAGGAAATATATTCAAATATTGTTTGGTAAACTTTCTTGCGCCTCTTAGCACAAGATTGCCGAAATTTCACCTAAAGTCCTGGAGTACATTATTTCTTCAACATACATGTTTGTCTTTATTTTCTTGTGTTCGGTGGTATGCTTTAGTCTCAGGGTGTTAGGTAAAAAGAGAATATCACTCGGTGAGTTTCTGAAGTTATATCGGTTGAGGTGGAAAAGAATTGTTGTCTTTCTTTGCAATGAATAGATAGAGCAGAAATGGTCAATAGCGATTTCAGTTTCTTTAAAAAGTTAGTTGGTCTTGTATAATTTTCAAGTATTGGTTTTGTGTTTGATTGGTTGGAGGTTTTCATCATGAGCTGAAATGGGTTAGAGAACCATTGGAAAACCTGGGCGTACTGGACAGTCGTTTCGTCCTATTTTGGGACTCTTCATCAGTACGCAGCCACTGCCAGGGTTCGAACCTAGGACCTTGTGGTAACAAGGCTAGCGAGCTCATAGACCATTAAGCCACTGGGCCTGATCTAATGATTACCCTATGAACTTAAACATCTGCCAATTTATGACATATCTTCTTCGATGAGTTACCGCCTCACCTTCAACCTGCTGTACACTACTGGTTAAAGCTTTTGACTCATGAATTTTTATTACATGTTTAGGGAAATGCTGTAATCATATCAGATGTTTTGCCAGTTGTTTCGCCACTCTGTGCGCGAAAACACCTTGTGACAGCTATTGTCCTCACTTTTTTTGTTTTGTTTTTTTATCTCGAATGTACTGACTTTTTAAACCAGGAATGTTGTATTAGTATTTGTTTTTGTTTTTTTTTAAACTACTCACTGCAATTCTTTTTCTCATTCTCTTTTATACTACTTAAATAGGTTTGGCAAGTAGGTGATAATAAATTTGTCAATAGTTTACAAGAACATGAAGATGGTGTAACTTGTGCTGTGATATCTGGTTCTGTGATAATCTCTGGATCCTATGATAAAACTGTAATCTTATACGATTTTGATGTTATATAACAAACAGAATGATGGATTGTTATACTTGGTTTTGTTTTTTTTATAGGGTGTTTTTGTCTTTTCTCGCATTCTTCACAATTGTACATTTTAACTTTTTGGTGTTTTCACATTTCCCAACCCCGCCCTCTGTCTCTCTCATGGGATCACTCAACTTGTATATTATTGTTATTATTATTACTACTACTATTATATTGCTTTCAGGTGTAATTTCACTCTGCTTATTTTATAATCAATATTTACTATATATTGCATCATTTATTATTATTATTTGTTTTTATGTGATAAATGCTTGTAGTTTCATCTGTTCACTTCCCTTTTGTATGTACAATGTTCATGTTACTACTTATTTATTTGTCTGGAAGTAGTCGTATATCAAGGATCTTTAACTGTCTTTAATGATCTTCCAAAATGTTGACTTCTCTTCCAAAAGAAGTTAGGTATTATTATTATGTGATGTGTGTATGCTTTAGGAGATATTTCAGTTTTCTTTTTAAAATAAGAAACAACCTCAAGTGTCTTTGTTCCCTTAGCTTACCTATAGGTGTTTTCCTGAAGTCATAGCATTTCACTTGTAGTTATTACTTGTTTCAATTGAATTTTAAAAAACCTCTTCTCGGGTAAATTTTATTGTTTTTTTTTACATAATTTCTTCTCAGTTCTAATTACATATATATAAAACCTTACTACTTAATCAGAAGTTTTCAGTTATTTCAATATAGAAAGCGAAAACTTATAAATCAATGAAGAGAGAGAGAGAGTCTTGTCTGCGGCATCACATACTTGCTACAGATGTACACAACTGTAATTATATGCAATGTTTCTTTTTTCTCCTGAATTACTACAGTGGTTTTACATTTCAACATACCTGTAGATTTCTTTTAAGAAGTTCGGAGCGACAATCTGATTGATTAATTAAACCAAAAACCATTTTGAGTGATGCTTAAGATCCAAAAACGCAGGATTTGTTTAAAGCACCTTCTATATTATACATGAAATAATAAAATACAATTTAAAAACATCAAATTATGAGGTATCTTTAGCTGAATGCTGTCAGAGAAATAGCAGGGCTACTATCCACGATCAGATTAAACAGCGCGCGGATGCCAGACAAACAAAAAAATCGATTTGAATAAATAATGCTTAACACAGGTTATTTAAATAAAGTAGATGCTGTTTAGCTATGAGGAAATAATTACTATATATTGTTAACTTGAATATTCCCATAATTTATTCAGTATGAAAGTGAAAGCTGACGCACACCTGATATCAATGGTCGGCCTGCAAAATTTGGTCTACCGATATGATATCACATGCTGAAAATTCTATACTTGTACCAAAAATACACTGTGGAATCAGGCTGTAATCAAAACTATAATATATATATATATATATATATATATATATATATGCTGAAAATTGTGCATATTGTGTGAACTTATTGTGTATAATAAAGCTATTGTTATAATTATTGATGTGACTTCGAATTGTCGTTTTATCAGAAAGTCCCACAATCTGAACACATTGTAGAATGCGATGCAAAAACATTGAAGATGAAATTGAAGCTAAACGGCTGAATGAAGTCCAGGTAGAAGGCTTAAACACTAATGCGTGCCCTAATATGATTTATAGTCATGTAACAAGTGACAAACCGGGATGAATACATAGTGATATCGTACAACTTATCTGTCGACAGCCTGGCGTAGTAAGCTCGAGGAATGTGCTTAATGATAGCACAATGAGTGAGCGAGCCACGTACAAGCAGTCAAAAAGGATAAAGATGGCGCAGCGACCTAATACATGAATGCGTTAAAACAAAAGTTCAGATATTCAAGATGCACTATAGTTTATTCCCACCCCCTTAGAAGGTTGATGGGAAAGCGGCAACCTTCTATACATGAAAGCAGGAGGTTGAGAGATAGAGGTTTGTACAATAACACTCAGGAAAAAAGGAAGACTAAAGACAGTAATGAACAAGTGTGAAAGGAAGGAAACAGGTTAAGCGTTATATAAGAAGAGATAACGATTTCACAAAGTTTTAGGTTGTTTTTAGTATTATTTTTATTTTATTGTATCGGTTAATATTATTAGATTTTTCAAAACTCTACCGGTACGGGTTTATGTGCCACACACTTATGATGCGTGGAGGTCTGTTGATACCAACCCGTTGCCTAGGCGGAGATAACGGAAAAGTGACTCATTATCTGTAAGTTGTATCTTAAACCGATGCTCCACTCTTCCGCTTCTACAATAAGTACAAATCGACACTAAAGAAAACAAATATACCAGGGTATTCGAAAGAAAAAAGTAAAAACACAAAAAGAAAAGCAAAAATGGAAGAAGAGGGTAAAATTTAAAGTTGTCCGAATACCTAGAAACATGAAAGTTATACCCCAGGTTGAAATAATACAAATGAAATTGCTAATAGTACGAAAATTTGTAGAAGTTACAGGGTGACATGGCTCAAAATCGTTCTCAGTGGCGCAGATGCATCCACTCCCCGTGACTTGTGACCTTCAATGAAACTGTTTTGTATTTCTTTATTACTCCTTTGTCTCACACCTCTGCTCACTGTTTCTATTATGCTTTTCTTATAATTTCTTCTCTTGCTTCGCGTGCTACACGGAATGTGGCGACTTGAACTTCCGCACATTTGTGCAAAGTTCTATGTCGAAAACAGACAGACAGAAGTTACAGGGTAAACTGTCAAAAGATCCAAAAGTGATGCGTAGTTACAATTAGTAAAACACTTTGCGCGCTGGATAACTAAAATAGTGAACAATTTGTATAGGCACGCCTCACAAAATAAATAAGGTTCAGCAGGTCTATGGCGAAAGCTCATAACTTCGACTGAACATGGCAAAGTCTGTCGAAATAGTTTGAGTGGATTAAAAATTACAGAATAGAAGTGACACGAGTATGCATAAAAATATGCGAAGGTTCATGCAACTGTACAAAACAAGAAGTTTTTTTTACATTTTAACTTGATTTCTTTTTGTTATATATGTGCAGGAGGATGTACACTCGCGAGCGTTAGCACCGTTACGACTGTGGTGGCAACAACCCCCTGATTGGAAGTCTTCAGACGTCAACCGTCGTCTGCGTGAAATAACTATAACCAAATTGGCTTTAGTTACCTGAGGGGGTGTGTGTCGGAAAGTAAAATGTGCTTCGGGGTGGGAGAACCATGCGGCTGGTCGATTCGCCTAGAAATTAGAAAGCTGCACGGTTATGACCACTTGCGTTGGCCTACTTTACTCAGCCATTTGGAGATAAGTTGTAGGCAAGGTGAAATATACAAACAATATAAAACAGAACAGAAAACTAACAGCAATAATATTATTGGGTGGGTTAAAGAGTAAAACAATACACCAAATGAAGTGAAATAAATGAGGAAGAATTTTGAGGCTTTAGGTGAGGAAGAGAAGTTAGCTTAGGGCTCACCAGCTGTAACTGCCGAGACCGACCTCTAGATAGGCCTTAAACGTCAGCACTTACTAAACTCCCTTTTTCCGGTTAACTCTGATCAGTACACTACCTACCGTTTATGTAATGACGAATGAAGTCCAGTTAAAAAACTTATGCAATGCTGTGTGCCCTGATATGAGTTATACTTATATAACAGGTGAGAAAGTGAAATAAATACGTAGTGATATGGTACAACTTACCTGTCGACGGACTGATGTAGTAAGCCCGAGGAATGTGTTTAATGAAAGCACAATGAGTGAGCGAGCCAAGTGCAAGTAGTCCAGCATAGGTAATGACGTTCTGCATGAAGCATGTGTGTGCGAAATTCCCTAGCCTTCGTTTAACCTCCAAGATATTTAAGGCGTTGAGACGCCCAATTTTCAGAGTTAGATTTCGTAGCATGGAGTCAGAAACTTTGAATAGGTTGAGGAACAAAATTTGAAGAAGAAGGTTTTGGTGACAGTCAATTCCGAGCTACCAGCAAGTTAGTATCATAAAATTGAAGTCTTTGAAAGATAGTAGTTGAAATATTCAAACAGCTTACGTGTGTCCTTGAAATGTTCATTACTGTTGGTTTTTTATTTACTGCATGTACTGAACTCAAGTAATTATGCTGACTTCGAATCTCCAACTTGTATTTTCTCCATTTGGTTGTTTGGTATTAGGGGATCCACTCGTTGGGAATAACAATTACGAATAAACACAACAATGTACAGCATACTAACATACAAAATATCACAGTCACTACTGACATTGTAGTATGCTGTCATACAACGCCGAACACTGTAAGGGAAGTCAGTGAATGTGTGGGGGTATCAAACTAGTTCGTCCGTGCAACTGAATTTTGCAATTCATGTTCCAAAGGCCAATATAATCATCCATAATAATTGTGTCAGTTCGCGAAAAGTTTGGCTTTTTGGGCCACTGCTGAGTTTGATTTGATCATGTGTCCCTGAATTCCCTGAACAATCGTCAATCGTCAACAATACATCCTTGAACTGCCGCAAATGTTATAATTTCCCTTTACTAATATAGGTGTCGTCAACAGCAGTCTGGCCACCAGGTTACTTTAGCTAGGCTAAAGACTCAGCGTGTAGTTTGGCCAATGCTCAGTTCTAGCAGGAGAGATGACCATACTGCAACCTTGGGCATTATTCCCGGTAGGAACAAACCAAAAACCAGCTGGAAGTATTTCAAGCGGCGTCAGTAACTGATTAGTTATTCCAGTATATCCGCTCAATGTTATAAACATGACAGTGGAAATTCGATGCTGACACTGTCTTGATTTACTGATGACCGTACAAAGGAAACAATCGTTTGACACAGGAATCGAATTCGCCACATAGACGGATACGGTGAGACCTGGAGCTTCCCAATTGAATACCTGTTATAAAATCCACAATTGCCTACTAGAACTTGAAATTACATGAGTAAGATGCTTAAATGCATGTTGACTGAACTTTTCGGCTGTTCATCGAATTCTACTTCGAAAGTGTTTAAGATTATACAAAAACTCAGAGAGTGCCTTGGAGTCATCTTGTAATTGACTACCATTACCTTTGACACCCTTTAATAATTTCCTTACGATCATCGAAGGTCGTCCGAATCTTTGAAGCAGTATACTCATAGCCTCAAAGCTTCATTCCTTAGGGGGGCATGAACTTACAGCAATGTATGGCTCTTGAAGCAACTTCAGTGCAATACCTCATCAAATACATCAACTTCATTTCATCAGTTAATAAAAAACTACTTAACATGATTTCAAACTCCTTTACAAACTGTAAATAATCAGCTGGGTTACCGTCGAAACACCGAGGTTCGTACTTAGGAAGCTTGATATTCCTATTATCCCTAGACGGCGAAACATTAACATCAACCATGTCATGCTTAACATCAAACACATCGTTACATGTAACAGACAACTCAACATGACTTCCTTTCCTGTTTGCTTCCAAGACGCTCTGTCCCTTCTTTGACCCAGGCATCATTGAACTTGAATGAACTCCAAAATCGTTCCAGATAACGCTTGTTCAAAGGAGACTTGGCTGGCACCAGGAAAGACGGCCGGAGACTATCAAACTGTCAGAAATTGTCAATCAAGTCTCATAAACAGTTGATGTCCAGCTCTTGCTTCGCCGGGCCTCGTGCTGTCCCTCGAAGATTTTCAGAAACGCTTAGTATTAACCGACGCAAAAACCAAAACACCGTTTGGCAACTCAAGAGTTCTTTATTCTAACGCCAACATATAACCGGCGATACTGGCATTACACACTTAGGTTTAAGAACAAATATTACAACAATAAATCACAATATTACTTCTGACAGATTTTTGATCTTCTTTCTGAACAGCGACCGATGAGACGATGACTGGAGAATTGATGCTTCCCCGAAAATATGAGGAAGTTGGGTTTGAGCAAACCACCATGAATTGATCGTTCAATCTTCAACTACATTGACATTAACACTTCTCTGGCTATCACGTTCTGGTGTCGTCTTCGTATACTGAGTTTATAGTAGTTTACAACTAGTTAGGTTTCATCCGCGCTAAATGTTTTCATCGCTGGGTATATTGTAATTTGAAATATGCCTCTGTTTTTGCTCGCTTCTTTGTTGGGCTGATGTTTTCAATTCTCCTTCATCGAACCTGCTTGTAATTCACATTTTAACCTAAGATTTCTCATCTACCTCACTCCTTTTCAGGTTCAGATTTTATTAGAGTACAAGAGTCTTTAAATCTAGTGATGATTATTTCCACGTAACTATCTATGTTTTTCTAGTCGCTACTTGAACGAGTCATTTGACAGAAGAAAGAATTTCTCGAACCATCACTCAATGAAATGACCACTAGTCCACAGGAATGTAGATCCTCATTGGCTTTTAGACTTTCCTGCTACGCTTTTCGAAACGCTTCATCCTGGTGGGAGATCTTGCTTAGATCTCGATGCGTGTGGTATAATGGGAGGAATAGATTCATTTCATTCTGTCGTTCTTGATACGGTATCATGAATCATGTGTATGGCTGTTCTTAGAACTATTTATGATATCGATTAATCCCCTTTGTTTCTCCATAAGCATTGTTCACTTTGTCAAGGACTGTATAAGATTTAGTGAACCCAGATAATTTACTGACACAGAATGTATCAGAATGAGACTCTTACATAATATTATGGCTCACTGCTACGTATTACTGTTCAGTAGGCGTTTGAAGTTTACCGCGTCTCCTCGTCCACTAACGGGAAGAATTTTTTCATCAGTGTGAGTAAGAATCTCATGATCAAAAAGCTTTATAATTTCATGACCGGTCTTTTGTTAAACACTTCACTGAAAGCTTGACGAAAACCTTTAGAGATGATGTCTATGTGTTCTTTAAGTTCAGGTGTAATATTCTTCACTACTGTAATACTCTGAAGGTAGTACCTGGTGAACAGTTAACTGTTTGAAAAATTTTAACGAGGATTACCACGTCTCATGAACAAACCTAAGCCAAGGTTGCCAAAGGATTGGGATATCATATTTTACCCACTTTCAGTGATTCTCAATGTTCATTGTCGTTTTCACGAGCTAGTGTAAACCAATTTGATTTCTTTATGGTCGCTTCTTGGTTATGAAGTAAAGGTTCCTGGTCTTCAGTAAACTTCTGCGTAGTTTGTCTCATTACTGACTGTCTTAGTTTTGGTTGGCTATAAAAGGAGTGGTGTTGGGATTAGTTGCATGTAGTTTGTAATATGCGGTGTGTTTAGACCATGTTTCTACTGTGGGTGGAGTTGATTATTTCTTCAGGAAGTCCCCTGTTGTCGTTGAAAAAAGAGATAACAGTGATAATAACAGAAAGAAATAGTGTGGGCTATCTAGACTTAGAGGATAAAAGAAAGAGAAAAATGTATAGGCAGTCACCTAATGAAGTCTTAAATTGTCTTATATACGCATATGGTACGTTTATATTCCTGTATATATATGTAGCAATAATTATACTAATAGTGTAGATGACGTAATAGTTAAAATAGCAGAGGGAGCAGGGCAAGGGAGAATGTGAATAAGTTAGAGG